CGAATTCAGCTCAGGTCGTGATGTCATGGTCCATGAGTTCAAGCCTTGCGTCAGGCTGTGTGTTGATAGCTCTGAGCCTGGAGCCTACTTCTGATTCTGTGTCTCCCTCTCTGCCCCTCCCCCACTCACACTCTGTCTCTCTCACTCTTAAGAATGAATAAACGTTAAAAAAAGAAAAGAAAAGAAAAGAAAATGACATGCAATAAGCACTCTAAAGGAAATAAACAGCAATGGGACCACATGAGGACCATATTTTCCTTTAGGCTAAGTGGTCAAGGAAGGTCTTTCTCAGGAGGGGAGACCTGAGCTGGGATCTGAAGGCTAAGAAGGGGCCGGTCACGTGGGGCGGGGGGCAATGTGGCTGGGGGTGGAGGAGCCTGGGGAGGAGTAGGCTAGACCACATAGAGGCTTGCGGGTCTGGAAAGGGATTTGCGTGTTCTCTGGCCACCAGTGATCAGATTGTCCTTCCGTGTGTCACATGGATCGGGGAAGGCAAGCGCAGAGGGGGTGGATCCCATAGTTGGGTGAACAATGCCACTGGCCAGCTGGTCCAGTTGCTCCTAAGAGGAGCTGTCATCATAAAGGCTTTATCACATTCTGCCACAGGACTTCAGCCTTGAGTTCCCAAATCTTCCCTGTTTGTTCTGAAAGGTGGAATCCTCAGACCTTTCGCCTGTCCTGGCTAGTAGATGTGAAGGGCTCACCAGGGTAGGCCAATTATTTCCTGCTCTCAGTTGGTGCCTTTGCATATTTGGGCCCCTGCCCAGTGTCCAGGATACCCGCTTTGGGTAAGAGAGCCATGAGGTGGATCTGGGTCTGGCTGTCCCGGAGCTGCCCCAGGTGGACGCACGTCTGGCTTTCCCTGCAGGGGAGTGCAGCAACAAGGAGTGCCCCTTCCTGCACATCGACCCTGAGTCCAAGATCAAGGACTGCCCTTGGTACGACCGTGGCTTCTGCAAGCATGGTAGGTGTCAGGGTGGCTGGGCCCCCAGCAAGACGCTGGTCCTCACTTCCTGTCCCCACATGACCCTCTACCTGTCCCAGCAAAATCTGGTGTTAGGCATCTGGGGCTAGTGAGGCTTTTTTACACCCTCAGCTCGCCCGAGCCTCCCAAAGCTCCTGTGTGGACTGCACTCTCACCTAGATTTTCGGTAAGGAAACTATCGGTTTAGAGGTTGTGTGCCCTGCCTGCTGTCCCTTGTGAATGGATATGAGACAGAGCCAGCATCTAAAGCCCTGCTCTTGCTCTCTGCACCCCAGGCAGTGGTGTAGGCAGGGTTCTGACTGGCACAGGGGCACGAGGCCATCCCCCGAAGAGGGGAGTCTGAGTGACCCAGACGCTTGGCTCCACAGGTCCCCTGTGCAGGCACCGGCACACACGGAGAGTCATCTGTGTGAATTACCTCGTGGGATTCTGCCCAGAGGGGCCCTCATGTAAATTCATGCAGTGAGTAGCCAGACCCTGTTCCCCTACCCCACTCCTGCCCCAGGCCCTGCTGCCCTCTAGATCTTTCCTGGGTCCAGCTGGGCTTTGATCATTAGGTGGTGTCCCCACAGGACCTGGGGCAGGGGTCACTACTGCTCCCTGAGCTCAGAGGTGGCTCTGCCTAGCCCAACACTTAACCTTTCCTGGGTCATAGATCTGATGAAAGCTGGGCTGCGTGCATGAGAAAAGCTCATGCCTTGTAAGGGACCTCTGGTTAAGAACCTGAGCCCTAAAGGAAGGAGACTGCAGTTTGGGGGCCTCTGTGGAGTCAGAGCTTGGGATTCCACATATACTAGTTTGTATAACTCTCAAGTGTGTGTGAGAGAGGATGACCCCATTTCGCACGTGGGAACACTGAGGCTCAGAGCTTAGCCACTGGCCTCGGTCACATGGTGGTAGGGTTGGCACCTGGTCTGAGGCAGGTCCGTAGCCTCTAAAGCGGGGTTCACCTTGCCCAGCAGGGCTCAGAGCTCCTCTCCTGGGCCTTAGTGCACATCTGTCACTTTGGGTGGTTGTGGAGTCGGACTTCTCCCTGGGGTGGCGCTGGGACCGCAGAGTAGTGTCGTTCCCCTCCACCCCCCACCCTGGGCTGCTTCTGTCCATCCCACAGACACCTGCACAGAAGCATGGTATCGTGGTCACTGCCACCCAGTGGGCAGGTGGCAGGTGCTGCAGACTTGGCGCTGCTTTCTGGATGAGAGCCAGGAGCCTGCAGGGGGCCCAGGGATTCCTGCTTGCGGGGCGGCCGGGGTGTCCCTCAGGATTGTGTCTTGTCGGAGGTGGTCTGGCACCTGAGTTAGAAGTGGATGTGGCGGGGGGGGGAGGTCCCATGAACAAAAAGCCCTCTGGAGGCAGCACTTTGTGAAGGTCCCCAAGCTAGATGTGGGCAGAGCTGCCCAGGCAAGTCAGTTCTTTTTACCCCTGTCCCCCGGAGGCTTCAGGGGCGGAGCTGAGAGCCGGCACGCTCCCCACGTCTGGGTGAGTTGCTCTGTGCTTGGGCAGAGGCTGCCTGTGATCTCCCGGGAATACCTCCTGGCATGGCCCCTCTCTCATCCCCCCTTCTCCTCTTCTCCTTCTCATCCCCTCTGGCTGCGGGGTGACCAGCCCTCGATTTGAACTGCCGATGGGAACCACCGAGCAGCCCCCACTGCCACAGCAGACTCAGCCTCCGACAAAGGTACTGTGCCCCTGCCCCTCCCTGGCCCCATAGTGCTGCCGGCCCCCGCACTGCCTGCCCTGGTGCACGGTCCGCCACAGCCCCGGCTGGTGATGTGTGAGAAGGCAGTGAGGAGGTGGGACAGGAGGGGAGTCACCCTGAGTTCCAGCAGAAAATTCAGGGAGCAGAATGGTTTGCATCTCCCTGTAGAGGTGGAGGGCTCTCTGCTATGTCTGCTAGAGCCGAATGCCCACTTGGCTTCTCGCCCCTTCTTGCCTGGCGAGTGCCTCAGTGGCGCCTCACCCCCCACCCCCACTCCCAGGGGCCAGAGCGGAGGGCAGCGCGAGCGCCGTGGGTCTGCTGCGCTTGCTTCTGGTTCCAGCCCTTCCTGTTTCAAACAGGGAAACAAACTAGAGGGAGGGCCTCGTCTGAGGTCCCGCAGCTGGGCAGGAGCAGCTGGGGAGCAGAACTGAGGCTGACTGGTTCTCCTGCCAGTACCCTTAGCGCTCTGAGTGGAGGTTCCTAGCAGGACAGGCTGGGAACAGAGCTGAAGGACCAGCTGGCTTCACTTTTCTAGACAAGGGGGTCCCACAACCCAGCAATGGGCTGATCCCCTCAAGCATGAGCAGAGGGAGAGATGCCATAGACAAGTGGGAATCTGCAGCAGCAACCCCCGAAACCAAGGGCACCCGGGAGTCAAGGGTTGGGGGCCCAGAAGAAGGGCTGGCCAGGTGCACTAAGCAGGGTCTCAACAGGCTGAGTAAACCCGCCTACTGATCTTGAATCCTTACCTGTTACCTGGCTGGACTCTGACCCCACTGCCAAAGCCCTGCTCATCCTTCATTGCTACAGGCTGAGCAGCTGGTTAGGGGGCATGCCCCCCCGCCCCTGGCCCCACTGCACTGACCCCCACCCTCAGGAGGCTGTGGGACGACTCAGAACTCCTCGCAAAGCCAGGAACTGGGTGTGGGTACAGCCATGACAACCTGGGGCTTTCTAGCTCAGTGCTCCTATATTTGCGGAGGCCAGGCCGGGACCCCTCTTGGTTAGGAGGTGGCCTAGCTATCCGGCCCGAGCCCCGAGCCCCCCGTCCCCCTTGCTCACATGACTCCCTAGTGGAGGGCCCTCTCAGCCCCTAGACCGCAGGTCAGCACGTCAGCCTCCAACTGTTTTTCTGTGACTGTTGCTCGCCGTGTAGGCTGCTAAACATCTGGCTGAACCAAGCGTTCATCCTGACCTGAAGCTAGAACCTCAGAAACAAAAGTAAGGCCTGCTCATGCCCTCGCCCTGCTGCCCCAGAGACCTCCTCGTCTCTTTGGTGTTTTGTTTTCTACTTTTATTTTTCGTTTTTGTGTGTCTGCATGGTGTTTTTCGGGCAGCGGCTCCTGCCATCATCACCAGATGTTTCTTTTCTGGCTGCTCTCCTGAGCAGGGCCACCGCGGAAGCCCTTCTTCCTGCTGGTCATGCGGGAGCAGTCCCGCCCTCTTTTTTCCTGTCCCCGTTGGTAGTCTGCGTGCACGTGTTTTCCGCAGTAAAACCGTGTTGTGTAACTCTTTCCAGCAAAGTAACAATCCGCCATTACAAAGGTCGTCCTCCTTGATCCAGTTAACGAGTCAGAACTCTTCTCCCAATCAGCAGAGAGCCCCGCAGGTCATCGGGGTCATGCAGAGTCAAAACAGCAGCGCAGGCAACCGGGGACCCCGGCCGCTGGAGCAGGTCACCTGTTACAAGGTGAGTCCTGGGGCTGGGGGATGGGGCAGGGTCTTCACAGTCAGGGGCTGTTCCCTCATTCCCCAGACAGTTAATTTTGAAAAATGAAAACATCTATGTTTTTGCTGACCATAAAAGTGACAATGGGCTGCTCTGGTGGGCTAGAGACCATGCTGCTTCCTTCCACAACACACCAGGGCCAACAGAACGATCACACATGCTGTTGAATGCAAGGACAGAGTTTGAAGGAAAGGGAGGGGAATCTTCCAGAGGCCAGTAACAAAGTGGAAGCATGGGTTAAGGGAAGGGAGTAAGCCCTGAAGCTTCTGGATGTCCTCACATCCACAAGGGCACATACCCGAATGAGAGGGACAGCTTTACCACCCAGGAAAAAAACAGACTAGAATCCCCCTGAACAGAGTGGGACGCTCAGGGGAAGGGTAAACTTTTAAAAGTTCTGCTAGAAAACTTGTGTTGTTCTTGGCTCTGGATGGAAAGGGGGGAGAAAAGTGCCTTGAGACTTCATAGTCACCAATGGTCCCTTCGTGAGTTTTGGGGCTGTATGCACACCCTTGGTGAAGGCTATACAGACTTGAATTTTCTAATCGGAAACAGCCCCAAATGTGGGCCCCTGGAATCTGGCTCTATGAGGAATTTATTCTCAGCCCAACCACACAGAATTCCCACAGCTAAAGTTCCGAAGAATGAGTTCATAATCAAAAATCACAAAACCTAGAAGGAAGCAAACCCCACTGAGGGAAGTCAGCAGAAACAACTGATAGTAGAACTAGGCTTACAAAAACTTCAGATTTCAGTATTTTACAAAATACAGAATTAGTACACGCTTTCTGTAAAAACATTTAGAGGACAGATATGTTTCAGGTACACAGTGTTATCTCTATTCCCACCTTTCCTAAAACAGCCACTTGACTTAGTGTGCTGTGTTGTCATGATTTTTGGTTTTGGTGTTCCTTCAGGCCCCATGGGGGACCCCACTTAGAGAACGGCTGTGCCAAACTTACTCACATAAGCACAATGAAAGTACATTTTAATGTACATAGGGCCCTAGTATGTATAACTTTCTATAGTCTCTTTTATCTTAATACTATGTTGTGGATTGAACTACGTCAACATATGTGAATGTAATCTGTTTCACTGGCTGTGTAATATAACTGCAATTTACTTTCCCAGTTCTCTGTGGATAGCAGTTTATAGTTTTTGTTACTAAAAACCATGCTGAATCTGACACTTAGACCTCTGTGAGCTCTAGTCTAATAGCAGCATCCATACCTACAAGTAGAAGGTCCGAGTCAAGGGGCATACGCTTAGCTTAAATTGTTCCTAGAACTTTCTCTCAAGAAAGGCGGAGCCACTTCCCACAGCCATCACTCACTCACTGAGCACCTGCCCTGGGCCAGCTCTACTGAGAGAACCAAGACTGTTATTGCTGTTACCCAGGAGGGGTTTGTGTTTTGCAAGGAGGGGAAGGCAGGTGCCCCCAAGCACCCCCAGGTGCTTTAACTAAAGTTAAATGTGCACTTGGGTTCACAGAACGCCTCAGAGATTTCTGAGCCTGAGCCCTCCCAGGTGAGGAGAGAACAGACAGCTTCAGACCAGTCATTCGTCAAGTACGAGGAAACAGAGGCATTGTAGCTGTTCTCTGGACACCCCTCGCCCCCACCCTCCCCCAGGACTCTGCAGCGAGGCCTTTGAAGCCAGCTCTCCCAAATCCTGGAACTTAAAAGGTGTAGCCAGAACCCAACAACCTCTTCTCAGGTCAGGCCCTTCATAGTTGATATTCAAGACACCTTGTAGGAATCCTGGGTTCTCCAGGGCCAGCTGTGGAAGCTGACAGACATGCCAGGTGCTGTGAGCAGGGTCCCAGTGAGCCCTTCTTCCCTCTGGTGATCTCACCAGAGGGTCAGCCGGCAGCTCCACAGACCACTCATCCAAAGTCACACATACATATCAGACAGCCTTGGAAAACGCAGGCACTGTGGGGTCAGGGGGATAGAGCAGACGAGAGATCTGGGCATTCCAGGGTGAGGAAGCTGGGGTTGGGAAGGCACTGGGTGCATTAGTGCAGGGTGAGTGCTCCTGTCTCCTGACCTTTGTCCCGTGCTTGAGGCTGCCATTCACTACCTTTTAGTTCCTTTCTTTTTGGGGAGTGAAAAGAATGAATGAAGAGAAGCTAAGGCAGGGCCTGGAAAATCAGAGCTGGGACAGGTCAGAGTCTGCTAGATTTTTCAAGTGATTTTCTGGGTCTGTTCATCCAATTCTAACCATTGTCCCATCTCTCTGATCCTGTAACCAAAACTTGCCCCGGGGGGGTAGCTTAGGCAAAGGTGCAAGAGGCAGGCAGGAAAACTGTGGGTGCAGCCCACCCTCCGTGTCCATGCCAATGACTCCCCGAGTTGGGGAAGGAGCCTTGTGGCTTCTCTCACCTTGTTGCCTCCCGTCTTCAGACAGTGCCTCAGAAAGGTAAGTGACTGGCCAGCCTTCCAGAGGGGCTTGGTCCCCAGGCAGGTGGGGGAGCTCGATTCCCATGGGATTCTCCTCATCCTGCCACCCACGACAGACCTTCCATGGATAGGTCCCATGTTTGACGTGGGCCCAGCCTGCAGAAACCCCCGCTGTGTGCTCTCAGGTCACCCTCTGGCTGTGCAGCCCCCTTCCATCTGCCGAGTTCCTGGAGTTTCTGCAGTTTCTGTGATACCTTTGGAGTTTCTTCGTTGTGTCTGAATGAAAGTCTGGATGACTGAGAATTTTGGAGTCCCCATACCGAACCTGGTATTTAGCAGGTGCTACCTTACCTGAAAATTGCATTTGAAAACGGTGTTGTTTTTTTGTCTCCTCCCTCCCTCCCTGCTGTTCCCAGTGTGGCGAGAAAGGACACTACGCCAACAGATGCACCAAAGGCCACTTGGCCTTTCTCAGTGGACAGTGACAGCAGCTGGAGCCAGCTCAGAGCAGCCCAAGGGTCCCCACTCTCGGGGACCACCCTGGGCCATCCTTGGGAGCGTGCACTTAACTGTTTAACGCCAGTGCTGGTGCAACTCTGGCTGGAGCAGGCAGGCAAGCATGCCAGGGTTCATCATTCTGAGGGGCTACGTCTGACAGTTTCCCTATTATTTGCTGTAAACTTTTTTAAAAGGGGACAAGTGCTCCAGTTTGGTCAAGTCGGCATCATGTCTGTCTAGGCATGGACACCTGTCCGCAATTCCCTGCACACCGCCCTCTGGGGAGGGGAGGAAGCGGTGGGGAAGGGCTCCTGCCAAGCAGTCTGTAGGGAAGGCAGCCCTTCCCCTCGAGGCCTCATTAAACACCAGTTCTTGGTGACCCCAGGGGCTGTTGGATCATTTAAAGCTGGTCATGCCTGCTTCCTCCACATCCTGCTGAATTCAGAACCTGTGCCTGTCCGTGTGACTTGAATGAGGCGGCCCCTTGGGGCAAACTTAAGTGCACTCCTTGTCTCTATGACTGGGCCCTGCTCCGAGGTGACAGTGGTTGAGAGGAAGGGCACAGGGCTCTCAAGTGTGAGGGACTTTTTGTTCTGGGCTCATTTCCTTGGAGTGCCTCCTTATCAGTGGCATGGCTGAAGGTATGCCTTAAGCTGGAGCTGCAGACCACCCAGTAAATCGATGACACGGTCTATCTGTGCACCTACCTCCTGCCCCTGAACCTGGAAATGTGAGACTGTCACCTGCAGCCTGCTGGGCAAGTGGGCCTGTTCAAGTTCAGTTACAAGAACAATTTTTATGAGATTGATTAAAGCTTGTTTTTTACGCTGCGTCTGGTTACTTCAGGGACCCACACCAAGGAGAGGACTCTTGCTCCTGGCTGCGCTCAATGCCTGGCACAAAGCTTCCATACCAGAGTTTACTTGTCCCCTTTCAACAAACGTGAACCTGCTGGAAGTAAGGAAGGGCCTCTGTACTGGCAGCTGAAGTCTGGAAGCTCAGCCTCTGGAACAGCCACATAGTAGGTCTCCTTCATTTCAGATGCTGGATGATACTTGCTTATTCAAATTTGGATCTTCTAGGAGATAATTAGCTGCAGCATCTCACCCCTTAGACTCCATGCCGTATACGTGCTTACCACACACCTCTCGAGAGGCCAATTCTGGCCCTCATATCACTTTACTGAAGACCTTTTTTTTTTTTTTTTTAAATGTTTATTATTTTTGAGGGGAGTAGAGGGGGGAGACAGAGGATCTGAAACAAGCTCTGTGCTGACAGCACAGCGCCTGATGCAGGCCTTGAACTCACAAACTGTGAGGTTATAACCTGAGCTGAAGTCAGATGCTAAACCAACTGACCCACCCAGGCACCCCTACTGAAGACCTTTGATGAAGGGTAAGGATGAAGGTGCTGGAAATGGGCAGCTGTGAGCTTCTGTCAGGGCCTGTGTTTTCCCTCGCTCCCCTGAGTCATCCCACTGGACTTCCTACAGGTTCTGTGGCCTGAGAAATGCAGAAAGGTTGGGGAGGGGAAGGCATTCTTAAGAACTCCGGGCACCAGTTCCCCAGTTCCTAGATGTAAAACCATCAGCCGACAAGAGGCCAGAAGTATGCAACATTCAAGGCAAAGAGCAGGGAAACCCCTCTGGGCACTTGACAGGCTTAACTAGATGACACCCCCACCTACAGTAAGCCGGGATGAGACCCCAAAGCAGTGGTAGGAAGCCCCCCGTGGATTCAAAGCGCTGGGCATTCCACAAGAACCCCAGCTCTTAGAGCTCTTAGAGGGCAGGGAAATGGCTCGACCAGGGAAGCAGTCTGAGTATCAGTCATCTTTTATTGGACATTAATTCTGAATTAGGATATGAAAGGATTCAAAGGTCACGGTCAGGAATGCCGAATGTGCCTCCATACTGGGCCCTCTTCAGTGGTACTTGCGTAGCCGCTCATGTTCTGAAGTTAGAAAGGCAAGGTGGTAAGTTTCAGGTAAGGTATAGTGAAAGCACAAGACGGCAGGAGGGCTTGCGGCTAAATTCACATAAAAGCGTCCTGAGAACTCCTTTCGGGAGACAACCCGGAACCTGCCTGCCAGCATCTGGGCAGAATCCACAGACCTGGAGGTACAAAGGCATCTCGAGCTAATCTGCTGCCTGGCCAGCCTCTTCCTTCCCAAAGGGAACACACACTCAAAAGTCCCCAAGATTCTGGCCTTCAGAGCTAGCATCAGCTGGATTTCACAGACTGGCAAGGGGCCAGACACTGTAAGAAACCGCCCATGAAACCCAGTCCGTGGCTGCCATTGGAGCTGTTTGGCATCTCCCACCACAGGAGATCCTCTCTGGTCTTAGAACCAGGAAAAGCCACCCTCTTCCAGAGCACTGAACAGACCCTGGATTGTACCACTCGACCTGTTTCTCTCTTCACGCTGGCTGCTGGGAAGATGAAGCTCCGCGGAGCCCTGCGGTACCTTAGAGAACGCTTCCCAAGTGTTACTTTTATCCCAGCTTCATGTCACTTTTTCCTGTATTTTCTCTTTGCCACAACTTTCTCACTTAAAATAACATCCTACATTCTGTATTCTAACAAGTCCCTCCCAATCTTTCAATTGTCAGTAGAATGATGTACTTGTAAACCTGACCGCAAACCAATACCACCCTGATGAGAGAAACCCCACTGAAGGGAAGGCAATCTGAGAGACACTCACTGAGTTCCTTGTAACACCGACAATAGTTGAAAAGCACATAAGCTGCCAGCACCATAGAAATTCCAGCAACGCTCCCTTTCTTCACATTGACATACTTGTTGTAATACCGGTAGTAACCTCTTTGAAATGCGCCAGCAATGCCTCTAGGGGTGAAATCTCGCATCAGTATCCAGCCTGGCAGCTCTCCTAGCTTCACATCCATGAGCTTCTTCTCTTTCACTGGTACTAAAAAGGAAGAGTAGAAAGACACACTGAAAAATCTCCAGTGAGACAAACAGCATCCTTCTATGTCACTTATTTCAACCATTCAATAAGATCACTACAGAGAGGCTGCACACAGGTAGTATTATGAGTAAATATATTATACCATATTCATTTTAAGTCAGAGTCTGTATAAAGCGACAGCTGTATTAATGAACAAGGTTCTGAAGAACAGTAACTATGTAAAAACAACCTATGGGCCATGAGGAAGAAAGTAAAGTGGAGGACCAAAAAACTGTTGCAAAACTAATATTTACATGTATCAGCTCACTGAATCTTCACAGCAGGTGGCTGATGCCTTTATTTTATAAGGGGTAGGGGAGACTGGCTCAGAGAAATTGGGTCAATTGGCCAAGGTCACACGGCATGCAGGGAGCTGAGGCAGTGCTCAACCTCAGGTCATCAAGACAATCCGATTTCTATTTCAAGAAACCAACCTGGGACCACAGATGTCAAATGACTTAATACAAACCACTCCAAATCATCCACTGGGCCCCAGAAAATATTCCAATGAGAGTCTGGGGACAGAGATGACAAGGGCTCCTGGTTGAGGCCATACTGTACTCATCTCAGCTTAAGAGTAAAATAGGAGGGGGACGGGGGAAGACCACAGTGGGGGAGAACCGGGAATGTTCAGATGCTCATAAGAAGGCAATGGTCCGGGGCGCCTGGGTGGCTCAATCGGTTAAGAGTCCGACTTCGGCTCAGGTCATGATCTCGATTCATGAGTTTGAGCTCCACGTCAGGCTCTGTGCTGACAGCTCAGAGCCTGGAGCCTGCCTCTGATTCTGTGTCTCCCTCTCTCTGTCCCTCCCCTACTCATGCTCTCTCTCTTTCTCAAAGAATAAATAAACATTAAAAAAAATTTTTTTTAAGTAAGGGAATGGTCTCCCTTTCCATC